GGTGATACGTGAACTCATTTTTTTGGTTGATTTTTTTAAAAAATGGCATTTAAATATATAAAATAAATATCAAAAATATAAATCTTTGTTTTACTATGGTTGCAAATATCAAAAAGTTTCTATATGTGACACGGCACCAGAGTTAAGTTAGGGTTTTTCAAAATGTTGACACGCCAAGCTCAAAAGTTTCGCCATCACTGTCCTAGTTCATAGGTCAACGCTCAACCACTGAGCCACGCCAGCCAGAATATTTCCCTTTTTTCAGTTGAGGAACCTGAGACTCAGGTTGATGGTACGGTGGGTCCAGGGTGGGTGGGAGTTTCATTTCATGTCTCCAGAACCCTTGTCTTACAGTGATACTGAAGGAGACAGAGTGGAATAAAGACGCTTGGCAATGAAGGGACACAGGTTATCAGAAAGAAGTCCTAAGTTTTGCCAATTGGTGGGAGGGGAGAGGGAATTAGAGTGTTTGAGACCACAGGGAAAGCACGGGTAAGCTGCGGGGAGAAACAGGTACTGCTGGGAGCAGAGCTGGCCAGTCGTATATGGTGTGGTGTTGCCTCCCTTACTCATTCCCGATTCCCTCTCTCTTATCAGCTGACGGCCAAGGTGGTAAGGTCTGCTGTGGTGGTCAGAATGGCAGAGGAGCAGGAGTTCACCCAGCTGTGCAAGTTGCCCACGCAGCCCTCACACACACACTGTGTCAACAACACCTACCGAAGCGCACAGCATTCCCAGGCCCTGCTCCGGGGGCTACTGGCTCTTCGGGACAGCGGCATCCTCTTCGATGTAGTCCTGGTGGTGGAGGGGAGACACATTGAAGCCCATCGCATCCTGCTGGCTGCATCCTGTGATTACTTCAGGTGAGTTTCATACACCTATTCTCATAAGTAAAATAATAGGTAATCTGGGCTCCACTGGGCAGATGTGTTGGCACTGACATGACTGGGCCTGAGGGGCCAGCCAGAAGCTGGCAGACACCTTCACCCTTAGCTGCTCTTACTGCTTGTTTGGTGACTTGGTCAACAGCAGGGGAGACAGAAGGGGTCTTAGGGTTTATTTTTCTTTCAGTTGTTCATCTGTCTCTAAGGTATGTTCTCTTTTCTTTTGAAGATGATATGCTTGATAAGTTTGGTTTTACTTGTAATATTACACTTTATAAAATTAGTTTTCTTCTCTAAGTACCGTATCTTGGTATAAAACAGATTTTCTTTCTACCTTACTCTGGCTTCCCAACATTTCATTTTGAAAAATTTCCAATCTGTGGGAAAGTTGAAAGAATATTATCATGAACACTTGAATACCAGTTGTTAACATTTTGCCATATTTGCTTTCTCTTTGCATGCACATACACACACTTTTTTTTTTTTGGTTTCCTATATTTTAGTTCTATTTATTTTGTTATTTTTAA